GACCTGAACGTGGATTCTCTCCAACCTACATCCCAGCTCTACTCGTCTCTCCTTACCAACTTTCTTTTGCCCTTTAACTTTCTAAACTGTATTCACGACCCAACTCGCGTTTGTCCGAAGTCGTCATCGTCAATTGACTACATTCTAAGTAATACAGATGCTGTCTCAGGCGGTATTGTTCATGACTTTGAGCACTCCGATCACTGTTTGGTATGTGCAACCTTGACCACCCCCGACCCCTACTCTTTCCCGACTGACTGCAACCAGCGCCTGCCCAGTCGGGACTTTTCCAACACCGATATCAAGCAATTGGAGACCCTCTTAGAGTCCGCAAACCTCTGTACTTTCTCTCTCTCTTCCAGCGTGAATAGTATGGTTGACGAATGGACAAGTAAAGTTGACTCAGTGCTGGATTTGGTAGCGCCATATAAACCGTCTAAGCATTACCGACATGCTCCTCGTCGAAAGTGCCCCTTTGTTACGTCAGAGCTACAAGCACTAATTCGGAGGCGCAAAGCGGCCTTTCGCACGTGGCGCAAGGGAGGTTCCACAGACACCAAGCTTTACAACAGCTTTCAGCGCCTTCGCACCCAATGTAACAATCTCTATCGTCGTCTGCGGAACCAGCACTATCAGAGAATTTGTGCCGAATACAGAAAATCTCCGCGTCGCTTATGGGCTACAATCAACTATGTGACAAAGCGTAAACCAAAGTCGTCTCCCATTCTTGCACCTAACCTGAATGACCACTTCCATGCTATAGTCCACGACCCCACAAGCACGTACGACCTGCCGTCTGGACCGGTCCTTGAAGATGCATTGACCTCTTTCGATCGGGTCAGCACTACAGAGGTAGAGCGTGCTCTTCGCTCCCTTATACCGTGCAAGGCACCGGGTCCAGATGGCCTTCTGCCTGGTTTCCTCAAGGCCATGGCGTCATCCTTGGCGCCTTCTTTGGCAGAAATCTTCAGCGCGTCTCTTAGCAGTGGAGTGTTTCCTTCTGCCTTTAAGCGAGCCAACATCACCCCGATCCCAAAATCCGCTCAGACCGACGTCTACAACGCAACGAGCTACCGCCCAGTTTCGCTGACGTCGATCCTGTCCAAAGTGTTGGAATCCGTGGTAATGTCGCAACTATTCTGTCACCTGGACTCGACTGCATTCCTACATGATCACCAATTTGGGTTCCGCCCAAATCGCTCCGTCCATAGGCGCCTTGTGGAGAGCCCGTCGATGCCTCTCCCGCAGCTCGCGCAAGGTATATGTAAAGGCTATTGTCATGCCGGATATGATATATGGTGCCTGCAGCTTCTCTGCAGCCCTCCGCGTGACCCAACTTCAGCGTCTGCAAGCCATGCAAAACCGGGCGATCCGATGCATTGATGGCAGCCCGCCATGTTCCGCGATGCAGCCCCTCCTGGCTGCCAACTCGATTTACCGCGTCACTGAACTTTTCAAACAAAAGCTCCTGATCTTCATCTGGCGTTGTCTAAATGACTCCACTAGCCTTGCTCTAGCCCAGCTTCTCAAACCAGCAGCATGCAGCGGCAGAAGTACGCGCCATCAGCATGCCAATGGTCTGCTCAGCCAGCCAGCTCGCAGTCGGTGTGGCCAAACGAGATTCGCCACCGCAGGAGCATTGCTGTGGAACAGTTTGCCTAGAGAGGTGCGCACCGTATCCAGATTGCAAGATTTTAAGCTAGCCTGCCTTCCTTATGTATGCCTGAAATAGGTTGTGTTTCGTCAGGTTTGACATGTTTCTTTCGTCTCAGTATTCTCGCTCGCATAGTACTCCACTTCTATGATAATATTGCCTATGCTGTTGCTCATTAGGATTTTGGCAAATTCTATCCTTCGCTTTCATATAACTGGGCCAGGAACCCGTTTGAACTTGCGAAGTAAAATAAAATCAATCAATCAATCAATCCATCAACTGCTCTCTTTGGCAATTAATGACTGGTGTCTTGCTCGGGACCAGAGCCTGACCTCTGCTGTCGCGTTTGTTGACCTTAGTAAAGCGTTCGATCGTGTGCAGCATCAGCAGCTACTCTTGGCTTTGCACGAGATTGGTATCAGCGGATCAGCACTCTCATGGTTTAAATCCTACCTTTCTGGCAGAGCCCAGCGGGTCCTCAGGTGCGGTGAGGTCTCTCCATTTCTACCTGTCACTCGTGGGGTCCCGCAAGGCAGTGTCTTGGGCCCAACTCTGTTTAAAGGGGAAGTATACCCTAAAATCAAATTTTCACCAGTTGTAGTCTTCTGGGTGCTGAGTCGAATGGTCTTGGTCCGAGGAAGCTGCGACGCTCCCTTCCTACTTGAATCCCAATCGAACTGGGTGACTGCGCCCTACTAGATGGGGATTTGTATGCAAAATGTCACTAAAAGCGCCATTTCGTTCTTATAAAAGCACGGATGACCGCGATTGGCCCATATGTTGTAGTCTTTTGGACGCTGAGTCGACTGGTTTTGGTCCGAAAAGGCTGCGATGCAGCGTTCCTCCTTTATTCCCAATCGAACATGGTTGAACAAGCGGTCACGTGCTCCTGGGTGCCCAAATCACCTGGTCACCGCGCCAGCAGGCCACAACTTTCACACCAAGGTTCAACTCGAGTTCAACTCGAGTGACAGGACTGCACCCAAAAAAGGTCAAACAGGCTAGTAAGTTGTACCCTGCAGGCACGGTGACCAGGTGACTGGTGTACGCAGGAGCACGTGACCGCTTGATACATCTATGTTCGCCGCCTTCCTGCAACTGCTGACACATCCGGGACGAAATTGCTCGCTTTTGCGGACGACAAAACGGTGTACGCATCCTGTCCGACGGCAAAGGAGGCTGCAGGTTTAGTTTCCCACACGTTATCAGCACTCGCTACTGATCTTCAGCAACTTGGCCTGACTATCAATGAGAATAAGACTGTTGTAATGTTCATCGCTCCCAAGCGCTCGCCGGTCTGTCCCACGCCCACTATCTGTATCGATGGTAAAGTGCTGACAGAAGTGTCCAGTGCTCGCTGTCTGGGGGTTGTAATTGACAACAAGCTCTCGTTCACACCTCATTGTGATAAGCTTGTTGCCAAGGTGTCACGCAAAATTGGTGCTCTACGCCGTTCTTTTCGTCAACTGTCCCCGTGCACTTGTCGCCTTTATGTGCTATGCGTAATTCAATCTGATCTAGAATTTGCATTTCAATCGTTCTTACCCTGCTTATCTGCAAAAGACCGTGGGCGCCTATTTGCTGTTCACCGTCGTGCGATCCGAGCTGCCTGTAGTGCCCATTACTGTGCTGACGTGGACCCCCTTTACCACTCTCTTAAGCTATGTCCTCTGGACCACCGTTTCTTACAGTTGTTCATTAAATTTATCTTTCAGTGTAAAGTAGCTCACCCGGTTGCCAGTTTAGATTCTCTATTTTGTAGGCACAGTACACCTGCTTACACCACTCGCGGCTCTTCTGCAAATAATCTTTCGTTATGCCGATATAAGACTGCATGCGGGTATCGCTCATTGTCTAGTAGGATTGCTTTACTTTGGAATGCTCTGCCCTTCGAAATGAAGTCTTGCAATACGTCTTCTGCATTTAACGCCCATCTTGCCTGCCTTCTTAATGACGGGCCACAATGTACCCGGTTAAAACAGCTCCTTTTTGAAAATGTTTTCGATGAGTGATGTGTCGCTTTGTTTTGCTCTAATTGGTGCTTTTCTCCAATGTCATGCAGTCGTATTTATTCAGCTTTTATTTCTTGTGTACTTGCATACTGGTATTAGTTTAGTCCCACAATCTGCGATAAAATGATCAGCTGTAGCACCTACTCCACTTTTATGTTTATGTATCTATGTCATTCGGATCTTCCCAAGTTGTACAATGTACTGTTGAGATACCGAATTCAAATAAATCAATACCATACCAATACCATCATCAGGGAAATAGTTGTGGGAATCTCAGAAACACGAAGTGAACGTGTACATGTACATGTATATATGAAAAGGAATTCATTTACAAATCATGCCTGCCTGTTGGACCAAGGAACTTGCCGTTACCACCGGAAAGACTAGCTTTTAAAACATTGAAAGACACGGTGCATTTTATTTGGCATTGAAAGCAATCGGGCACACAGTGTTTTGAGTGTGAGACTGTGGCATCAGGCTCTCACACACTAGAATGGCAATACTCTGAAGCCCCATAAAAGAGGCTCCTCATCGTCCATAACCCCATAGACTCTTGGTCATACTCTGAAGCCTTTGTCTGATCAATCCGGAACCATCCAATGAAATTCTTTTCGAAATAGGCCATGATACGTTCTGCTCAGTCGATATCTGAAAACTCTGCCTCAAGTACAGTGCGTATCGGTTATAGTGTGGTCGTGTAAAAGAATATACTGCCTACAAGAATGAACTCTCCTATTTTCATAATCATAACATGGGTTTCATTATTTATTCTTACAAGCAATGTTATCGTGTAATAGAAGGTATCGGTCCTAAGAATGGACTTTTTGTAGCAAAACATGCCAGATTAATACAAAGTGTATCGCCTGTAGTAATAACATCTGCCCGATACAGTTCTGAACCGACTCGAATTGCAACATAATGCTGCAAGTGCATCTGTTGTGGTCATGTAACTCATGTTGCTCAGCCACATGGTGAACCTATGGCCCAGTATGGGACTACTTTGGAAGTATGAGCAACCGCATACACAGTAGCACTACGTTGCATGTATGATGATCTTCCTGGCTATGCGCACATGCATATGATACGTCACACTATATTCATCGTGTGTAAGAAATATCGGAAATAAGAATAGAAAGTCGTTTTCAAACACCCACGCTATAACCGATACCTATTGTACTATGAAAGAAACACCCTTCGACACGGGCGTTCAGGAACCTGGCTGTGGTGGCCGCTATCACCGATCTGAAAATCTCAGCGTACATGCTTATCTTTCGCTACACATACATGCATAATTATGGTGCTTCGTACTATCACGCTCAACATGGAAGGTGCTGTTCGGGTATGAGGAATATTATTATCAGAATAGTGTTAGTGTTATCACCAAATTAATGTGTTTATGTGACGATGAAAAGTCAACTTAGGAATACACACAATTTTAATAGCGTTAAGTAATCGATCAGATTAATTATCAGAGAAGCGGATGGTGAGAATACTTGTAAGTGAGTACGTAGGGATAGAGGTGAATATGGAGATGCACAATACATGCATGGTAAGCCTGGAGTAGTATGTTATCACAGAGGAAGCAAAGAGCAAAAGATTCGATAACTGTCAGGATAGAATTTCATCTTAGAAACTTGCCAGGTCTAGGCTGCTCAATGTGTCATCGCTAGGCAGATGGGAGGATACGCGGTCAACGCGACCTTTACATCTGAGTGAGAAATCAAATTAAGTTTAGAATTTGTACCTCTGGGCAGCTTCTAAAATCACTTCATTAGCCAACCTGGGGGGGGGGCGTAGGGTTAGTCTTAGGGTTACGCATAATGTAAGAATTGCCGTCATTATCTTACTGTCGATTATGTGCTCAAGGCAGAAGTCCAAAATCATAAATCAAGGCAAGGGCAAGATGATGCTATCAATTCGGACGGGTTTTCAAGAAACCTGTAGTATGAATGTACGGTAACACTATGAATTTAGTTGTTATTGATTTGCTTTTGCCAAGTGGTGCAGGTGTATTCGTGGTGAGCTCACTCTAACTTACCACACAGCCACACCATTCCATAGTTAATACTTAATTGATCTAGTGAGCTGGTGACGGTTAGATGGGAGGGGTTCGATTGTAGACGGAGGCTGAGTGCGTTGCAAAGCTTCCTGGTTACTGAGGAGCATCCTTGTCGAGAGGAGCAGCAGGAGTTGGTGGGTCCACCACAAGAGCTTCCGTTGGTGCGTTAGTTTCAGGCGCATCTTTGTCCAAGTCTTCGGGTTGTGTGATGAGAATTGGGGGCTTGGGAGTCTCCGGAACTGCAGGCACGAGAACGGCAGGTTGTTGGGCTTGCACAGCCGAGCCATCATCACTGTCGCTGTCATCTGAATTGATACCATTCTCGGGGTCTTCGCTATCACTGTCGTTTTCGCTATTGCTATCATCACTATCGTCCGAGGAGTCATCACCACCATCACTGCTGTCGCTCTCTCCCATTCCTGTATCCATGGCAGCACTATCACTGCTATCATCACTGCTATCATCACTATCACTACGGGCCAGGATGTTCTTTCCCACACTCCGGGACGAAACATTGATCACCAGGGCACACAAGCAACCCAACAAGGCCAACACAACAAAGCTCTTCATTTTCGGGAGATGATACTTAGGTACGGCAACGAATATGAACAAAAATCAGAGAACGATAGTTCTGAGCAGACGAAGAAAAGGTCTTTTGGAATTCTCAAGGGTAACTGATGCTCTAACGTCGATCTGACTTTGTCTTTTGTACCATTGATCATGCAATGCGCTGCTATAGGCGTCTTCGCATCCCCACCGAAATTCGATGACTATCCACAAACACAAAATGTGGATAAATTGGGATTATGATGGATCTCTCCAACATTTCGCCAAGGTGATGAAAAGCTATGAATGTGCACCAACAATGAGGTGAATGGAATTCGGTCATCGATCTCGTTTATTATTCAGCGTGACCCCAGTCGGTGGGATAAGTTGAGCCTGAGTATACACCTGTACTATCTCACGCTTCAGCACGCCGATAGAAACGTTTTGTGCAGCTGTCCGCCTGTCAACGGACACCATGAAACAGCGACTATACTAAACACTGTGCAGGTCTTGGAGAGGTGCTATCGACGAGATTTGCTCCCGTCATTTCCCTGTGTATTACAGCCATTATAGCAGTTCCCGTCGACGGTTTCAACAATACTCCCGCCGATTTCGTGTCATTCGTCCCGGTCGAGTGATCGGTTCAAACCTTGTCAATGCTCAGCTTTGGAACGACTAAAGCCAAGGTCCCCTTCCAAATGTCTACCTTGATCTGCAGCGACAACCCCACGCGACCTGTGAGCACGACTCAAAGTCGCTTATCTCAAGGGTCCTCAGGCGTCGTGGCCGGAGGCTGGTGTTGTTCCCGCAGCAGCAGCAACCCATGTTTAAAGCGGCACTGGTTTACGAAATAATCACTGACACTGCATGTATTACACCCAATCATATTCTCTATATCATCATGTATACAGTATTAGTACCACTGTTATTGTATAGTCCTATACCAGATCAGTATACCTTCATCCGTGTGACGCTGGGTGCCGAGCATCATTCTTGCTTAGCCATGAGCAGGCATAATCGCTGGCCGAAATACGTACATTGGCTTTCGTCTCCGACGTGTCGCAACGCTTGACTACTATGATAAGATATGAAAATCAAGATGGCTTCACCGGTGGACACACGGATACACGACAGCGAGAAGGACCTCATGTCACCACCTAATGCGATGGTTTCTTGTTGTCTATTGATCTCCCCGTCCAAGACACACTCAGTGCACACACATTGACATGCATTGCCAGCAGTCGGTGGTGCAGAGCTGCTAAAGCGACGTTTCTCTGCACGTCAGTTGGCGATGACTGTGTCATAGATGCGTGTGTGTTAGTGTGTGTGTCTGTCCCTTTCAAATGCACGGAGACCCTCTTGTCGATTGATTTGAACTGAACTTCGCACTAAAGCCTAAAGCCTAAAAGGGTGAATGTGGCTGAGTAGCGCAGATAATTAGTTTTCAATGCCTATAACAACGTGCGTGCATTTAGTGTACTAAGTCTACAAGTAGTTCACTCTAGACTTCAGCATGATTTTGTTGCTATAGTGGTGTTGATGTGTTGTGCTTTGCCAAGCTGTATTTACCTGCTGTACATGTGCATCGACTTGCACAATGCACTCGTCTCACAAGATAGCATAGGTGACTTCATTTTATACATACGCCGATGACGAGGAGATCAGCAAGCTGCAGGTTCCACACAGCTGATACGGTCATAAGGCTTATGACGTAAAGGTGTCGTCCACCGATAAGGATTTCTTTGACTCGTGACTCAAAGGGTCAAAGGTGCCACAAGGAAATGTGTTCGAATTTCGTGTGTTTCACCTCCATGCCAACTAGGACGAAAGTAAATGTCCATACACCGTGATAATGCTGTGTCTGTTCATGAGTGTCCCACTAACTCCACACCTTGACGAGTCTAAACGTTACGTTTAATCATGGCTCCAAGTACTCCCTTGGTGGCATATGAATTGATGTTATACATGTACACGCTCGGACAATTCCAGTACGTGCAATTCAATCATTGTAACAACAAATCTTCAGTATTCACCGGCTTCAGCAGTGAGAATGTCCTCCTAATGTTACAAACGAGGGCACACTATCGTCATTGTGTTTGGACCTGAACACGATGTTTCACACAGCATGCATGGGGATCCCCCCCTCCCCAAAAAAAGGGAAGAAATAGCTAACGTCATAGCACGTGTGAACGCACACACATTTCCCATACATGTACACCCGTTTGGATTTGCTATAGATACGTTCCTCCAGTCCACGTTTGTCCTGAAAATACTTCAAAGCACCCGAATCCTGATTTCACCAACTTCGGTCGCCCTCCTTTGGTCAATCCAGTTTAGTTCGGTAGTTCGTCACCTTCCAATCCGCTTGAAAAACTGAAGCCCAGGTGGCATGCAGATGCTGAATTCACTTTCACAACAATAACACACACAGAAGTCTCTGCTGTGAGCACGGTGGCTCGGCAATGGCTTTATTATTGATATTATTATCTCCTTCCTGATTTTTTTCTTTTTCTTTTTCTTTTTTTCTTGAATAATTGTATGCATAGAGCCTGATAAGAAAAAATAAGCACAAGACACTGCTGCTACTGTAGTCGCACAGCAAAACACACAGAAAACGACAAAATGTTACAATGAATGTGAAAACACCCGTCCAAGTTAAAGGACCGACATCCCTGCCCCAGGACTGCATTTCGAAACCCCCACACACTCACCACACGGTTATAATCCAGCTTCAGTTCAATCACTGTATTCTTCCCCTGCAGACTCAACCCCCCTGTCACTAGCCATACAATCTGAAGCTGTATGTAACCCTACAATGGCCCACGACGCACACACCACCCCTAAGTTGTTTAACTAAAAAAGAAAAGCAGTCGTAACTGCAACAGCCACATGGCCAATAACTGAATAAGAAAACCAATAAGATAATATCTTATTGTATTAAACAGTTACACACACCCAGAAGTCAGCGGTGGGAGGGTGGGATACAAACTGCACCAACGAAAAGCCACTGCGAAGTGACAGGAATGCGGTCCAGCACAACATTTTTGCTGAAGCAAAAAGTTGTGGGGAAATCCCAAAATCGGTGCGATTTTTCATGAGCCCAAATGTTCAAATTACCCACAAAGACACAAGCTTTCCAACTCTCTTTGGCCGTTGGAAAGCGTACCCTCTGCAACCCAGCCATATACGCTGAGATTTTCAGATCGGTGCTATAGCGGCCACCACAGCCAGGTTCCTGAACGCCCGTGTCGAAGGGTGTTTCTTTCATAGTACTTGAGGCAGAGTTTTCAGATATAGACGGAGCAGAACGTATCATGGCCTATTTCGAAAAGAATTTCATTGGATGGTTCCGGATTGATCTGACAAAGGCTTCAGAGTATGACCAAGAGTCTATGGGGTTATGGACGATGAGGAGCCTTTTCTGAGATTCCCACAACTATTTACAACTATTTACAGGCTCAGGAATGCTCCGACGTATGTGTAGGGCTCCCTGGTGGTAGCTGTCAAAGCTTGTACTAATCTTTGTAGTACTCGTACTCTGTCGTACATCGCCCTTGTCGTGTGGGCAACAGGCGAAAGTCTGCCGGCAGGACGTTTTCGTCACGCCTTGCCATGGTTAACCCCCGGTTGTGTGAAGCTGGGTGAATAGTATCGGAACGCATTTGAACATGCCATCCATATGCCATACCGGGTGTGAATTCAGCATCGGCATACCACCTGTGCTTCAGTGTTTCAAGCGGATTTCATTATTGAAGGTGACAAACTACCGAACTAAACTGGATTGACCAAAGAAGGGCGAGCGAAGTTGGTGAAATCAGGATTCGGGTGCTTTGTAGTATTTTCAAGACAAACGTGGACTGGAGGAACGTATCTATAGCAAATCCAAACGGATGTACATGTATGGGAAATGTGTGTGCGTTCACACGTGCTATGACGGTGGCTATTTCTTCCGTTTGGGGAGGGAGGGGGGGGGGGGGGCGGGGGTCCCCATGCATGCTGTGTGAAACATCGTGTTCAGGTCCAAACACAATGACGATAGTGTGCCCTCGTTTGTAACGTTATTAGGACATTCTCACTGCTGAAGCCGGTGAATACTGAAGATTTGTTGTTACAATGATTGAACTGCACGTACTGGAATTGTCCGGGCGTGTACATGTATAACATCAATTCATGTGCCACCAAGGGAGTACTTGGAGCCATGATTAAACGTAACGTTTAGACTCGTCAAGGTGTGGAGTTTTTGGACACTCATGAGCAGACACAGCATTTTCACGGTGTATTAATATTTGCTTTCGTCTCCATCTGCTATATAGTCCTCGTTGGCATGGAGGTGAAACACACGAAGTTCGAACACATTTCCTTGTGGCACCTTTCACGCTTTGAGTCACGAGTAAAAGAAATCCTTATCGGTGGACGACTCCTTTAGCCTTAGGTTATAAGCCTTATGGCCGTATCGGCAGTGTGGCATCTGCAGCTTGCTGATCACCTCGTCATCGGGGTATGTATGAAATGAAGTCACCTGTGCTATCTTGTGAGACGAGTGCATAGTGCAAGTCGATGAACATGTGCAGCAGGTAAATACAGCTGGGCAAAGCATAACACATCAACACCACTATAGCAACAAAACCATGCTGAAGTCTAGAGTGAACTGCTTGTAGACTTAGTACGCTAAATGCACACACTTTGTTGTGGTCATTGAAAACTAATTATCTGCGCTACTTAGCCACATTCATCTTAACTGTGCGAAGTTCAGTTCAGGTCAATCGGCAAGAGGGTCTCTGTACAGGTGAAAGGGACAGACACACACACGAATCTATGACACAGTCATTGCCAACCGACGTGCTGAGAAATGTCGCTTTAGCAGCTCTGCACCACCGACTGCTGGCAATGCAAGCCAATTTATTTATTTGTGTGCACTTAGTCTGTCTTGGATTTGGAGATCAATAGACATCAAGCAACCCTCGCATTAGGTGATGACATGAGGTCCTTCTCACTGGCGTGTCCCCGCGTGCCCACCGGAGAAGCGATCTTGATTTTCATATCTTATCAGTTATCACAGTGCTTAGTAGGCAAGCACCGCGACACGTCCGAGACGAAAGCCAATGTACGTATTTCGGCCAGCGAATATGCCTGCTCTTGGCAGAGCAAGTATGATACTCGGACAGGGTCACAAGGGAAAATTGTTCTGGTGTAGTAATAATAGAAGCAGTATAAGCTGGTACTAATACATGATGAAGAGAATTATGTGTGTTATACATTCAGTGCCAGTGACTATTTCGTAAACCAGTGCCGCGGTAAACATGGGTTGCTGCTACTGCTGCAGACTAAACAGCGCTGTCTGGCAAAGACGAGACACTGAGACGACCGCTTTGAGCCATGCGCTCAGGTCGCGTGGCGTTGACTTTGCAGATCAAGGTGGACATTTGGAAGGGGAGCTTGGCTTTACTCGTTCCAAAGCTGAGCATTGACAAGGTTTGAACCGATCACTCGACCGGGACGAATGACACGAAACCGGCGGGAGTATTGTTGAAACCGTCGACGGGAACTGCTATAGTGGCTGTAATACACAGGGAAATGACGGGAGCAAATCTCGTCGATAGCACCTCTCCAAGGCCTTCACGGTGTTTAGTATAGTCGCTGTTCAGGGTGTTCGTCGCAAGGCGGACAGCTGCACAAAACGTTCCTATCGGCGTGCTGAAGCTTGAGATTATACAGGTGTATACTCAGGCTTAACTTATCCCACCGACTGGGGTCACGCTGAATAATAAACGAGATCGATGACCGAATTCTATTCACCTCATTGTTGGTGCACATTCATAGCTTTTCACCACCTTGGCGAAATGTTGGAGATAGCCATCATAATCCCAATTTATCCACATTTTGTGTTTGTGGATAGTCATCGAATTTCGGTGGCGATGCGCAGACGCCTATAGCAGCGCATTGCATGATCAATGATATAAAAGACAAAGTCAGATCGACGTTAGAGCATTAGTTACCCTTGAGAACTCCAAAAGACCTTCTCTTCGTCAGCTCAGAACTATCGTTCTCTGATTTTGTTCATATTCGTTGCCGTACCTAAGTATCATCTCCGAAAATGAAGAGCTTTGTTGTGTTGGCCTTGTTGGGTTGCTTGTGTGCCCTGGTGATCAATGTCTCGTCCCGGAGTGTGGGAAAGAACATCCTGGCCCGTAGTGATAGTGATGATAGCAGTGATAGTGTTGCCATGGATACAGGAATGGGAGAGAGCGACAGCAGTGATGGTGGTGATGATTCCTCGGACGACAGTGATGATAGCAACAATGAAGACGGCAGTGATAGCGAAGACTCGGAGAATGGCAGCAATTCAGATGACAGCGACAGTGATGATGGCTCGGCCGTGCAAGCCCAACAACCTGCTGTTATCGTGCCTGCAGTTCCGGAGACACCCAGGCCCCCAATTTTCATTACACTGCCCGTAGACTTGGACAAAGATGCGCCTCAAACTAACGCACCAACGGAAGCTGCTCCTTTAGACAAGGATGCTCCCCAGTAACCTGGAAACACTCATCCTCCTTCTACAATCGAACCCCTCCGATCTAACCTTCACCGGCTCAGTGTACCAATCAAGTATGTAATGTTGTGGCTGTGTGGTACGTTAGAGTGAGCTTACCACGAATGCACCTGCGCCACTTGGCATAAGCAAATCAATAACAATTAAATTCATAATGTATAATACACATTCATACTACAGGTTTCTTGAAAACCCGTCCGAATTGATAGCATCATCTTGCCTTTGCCTTGATTTATGATTTGGGACTTCTGCCTTGAGCACATAATCGACAGTAAGATAATGGCTCTAAATCCTGAATTTGACTGTATTACGCTTAACCCTAATCCTACCTGCTCCCTTAAGGTTGGCTAATGAAGTGATTTTAGAAGCCGCACAAAGGTACACATTGTAAACATAATTTGATTTCTTACTCAGGTGTAAAGGTCGCGTTGAGCGCGCATCCTCCCATCTGCCTGGCGATGACACAGTGAACAGACTAGATAGGTTTCTACGATGAATTTCTATCCCGACAGTTATCGAATCTTTCTCTCTTTGCTTCCTCTGTGATAGCCAACTACTCCAGGCTTACCATGCATGTATTGTGCGTCTCCATATTCATCTCTATCCCTACGTACTCACTTACAAGTATTCTCACCATCCGCTAACTTCTCTGATAATTGATTTGATCGATTAACGCTGTTACAAGTGCATTTACTCCTAAGTTGACTTTTCACCGTCACAAAAGGCACAATAATTGTGGTGATAATACAACATTTTGATAATAACAATCCTCATATCCGAACAGCATCTTCCATGTTGAGCGTGATAGCATTCAGCGCCATAGAAGTAAAAATATAATATTATCGTGTTCGTTCCCGAAGGGAACTCACGACGGCCGCTAACACCCGGTAAGCCTTAGGGGAAGATGATTGAAGAGCCTGTAAATAGTTGTGGGAAGCTCAGAAACACGAAGGTAAACTGTACATACGATGAGAAATTCATCTACAAATCATGCCTGCCTGTTTTACCATGGAGCTCCTTAATATTTTTATTTGGCATTGACAGCACATCGGGCACACAATGCTTAGATCACGCATCAGGCTGTGACATCAGGCTGTGACATCAGGCTCCTAAACACTAGAATGCATAAAGGCACACAATGAAAACCTTGGAAAATCCCGTTGTGATTCAGAGTTTCATGGCTGAACCAATCATCAGACAACGAAAAATGTCTGATTGTCTGATGATTGATTCAGCCATGAAACTCTGAGTCACAATGAAATTTGCAAAGGTTTTCATTGTGTGCATTTGTGTACGCCGCTCTGCCTGAATCAGGTATTGTCCGTATTGAGCACTTTCGCAGAACCCACGCCTACTGCCTCTGTGTAAACACTAGAATGGTAATACTTTGAAGCCCCATAAAAGAGGCTCCTCATCGTCATACTCTGAAGCCCTCGTCTGATCAATCCTGAGCCATCCAATGTATATGGTTCTTTTCGAAATAAGCCATGTTATTTTCTGCTCTGTCGATATCTGAAAACTCTACCTCAAGTAGCTCATTGTAGTGGAAGAAGTCGGCCAAATTCAGGATTCATCGCCTGGAGGTAATTTCATTGCACCCACTTATAGGTGCTTGGCAATGGTGACAGAAACGCCTTTCGACACGGGCGTTCGGGAACCTGCCTCTGGTGACCGCTATCGCCCTAATCTCAAAATCGCAGGGTATGTGGTCGGGCTGGAGAGCAGTGGTATAGCTGTCAGAGCTTGTATCACACTGTCGTACATCTCCCCTGTCTTCTTGGGCAACAGGGAACAGGCTGCCTGCTGGACTTCTTCGCCACGCCTTGCCATGATTGTGTGAATGTGGTAGAAGAGTACATTGTAGCTGAACACATTTTCAACATGCCATCCATATGCCATACCGGAGATGAATTCAGCTTCTGCATACCACCTGTGCTTCAGTGTTTCAAGCGGATTTCATTATGGAAGGTGACAAACTACCGAACTAAACTGGATTGACGGAAGGAGGGCAACCGAAGTTGGTGAAATCAGGATTCTGGTGCTTCGAAGTATGTTCAGGACAAACGTGGACCGAACGAACGCATCTACTGCATATCCAAACTGGAGTTTCTTCCCAACAAAGTAACGTAACAAAGTAGCGTAGAGATCAGGTAAAAAGAGAGGGAAGAGGTGTATATGAAATGTGTGTGCGTTCATACGTTCAATGACGTTGCCTATTTCTTCTGTTGAGGGGGGGGGGGATCCCCATGCATGCTGTGTGGAACATCGTGTTCAAGTCCAAACACAATGACGATAGTGTACCCACGGTCGTAACGTTATGAGGACAATTTCCCTGTTGAAGCCGGTGAACACTGAAGATTTGTTGTTACAATGATTGAACTGCACGTACTGGAAGGATATTATATGTATTTATTTATTTATTTCTGCACCTCGTGGCATGTCAAGACAGCCAATTGAATTGAGGAGAGGGTGAGACCAACCACGGAAGAAGAGAAAAAATAGAATGAAGAGCACGTACACAAAAAGTGGGAAGGGATTAGCAACTTACAAAGCAATTTGTATTGTATTTTATTATTTTAATATCAAAAAGTATTCTTTCTAGACCAAAGAGTGGTATATTTGATAACATTTAATAACGATAGAAATTTTTACGATACTTCTCCAGACGTTTCGTTGTTCTGAACAACATCGTCAGTGGATAAAGAAGCTTTATCCACTGACGATGTTGTTCAGAACAACGAAACGTCTGGAGAAGTATCGTAAAAATTTCTATCGTTATTAAATGTTATCAAATATACCACTCTTTGGTCTAGAAAGAATACTTTTTGATATTACAATGAGAGTGAATAATCAACGGCTTGTCCACCAACTCTTTGTCTTTTATTATTTTACTTGGGCATTCCCAACAGACCCTTAGGTCTTCTTACAGGGTTCCCAAGATGAATGAATGTATTAAGTTCTTGGCGAAATGAATTGGGGATATGATTAGTGCGAAGGGATTCGGGAAGTGCATTAAAGCGGTCAGCACCAAGGAATGAAATAGATTTGTATCCAGCTTGAGTTTGCACGATGGGTAAAGAAAGAGAATAGTCCCGGTTTGTATACATCAAGTGCCATATGCAGGTACTTGGACCCATGATTGTACGTGACGTTTAGACTGATCAAGGTGTGGAGTTAGTGGGACATTCATGAACGGACACAGTATTATCACGGCGCATGGACATTTACTTTCTTATCCATCTGCAATAATAGTACTCGTTGGCACGGAGGTGAAACACATGAAGTTCGAACACATTTCCTTGTGGCACCTTTCACCCACTTTCACCATGTTCACAAGTCAACGAACTGACAACACCTTATGACCGTATCGGCTGTGTAGCATCTACAGCTTGCTGATCTCCTCGTCATTGGGGTATGTGTGAGATGAAGTCACCCATACTACCTTGTGAGACAAGTGTACTATGCAAGTCGATGAACAGCAGGTAAATACAGCTGACCAAAGCATAACACACCAATACCACCATAGCAACAAACCACGCTGAAGTCTAGAGTGGACCAGTCTTGTAGCCTTAACACACGAAATGCTGGCACGTTGTGTTGGGCATTGAAAACTGATAATTATCTGCGCTATTTAACCACATTCATCCTGTACCTGTGCGAAACAGTTCAGTTCACGTCAAGAGGGTCTACATGTATAGTATCGGCAGGTGAAAGGGTCACAGAGAGAGAGACACACACACACAGTAACACATTAATCTACGACACAGGCATTGCAACCTGACGTGCTGAGAAATGTCGCTTTAGCACCTCTGCACCACCGACTGCTGGCAGTGGAAGTGAACTTTGTGTGCACTGAGTGTGTCATGGACTTGCAGATCAATAGACATTGAGAAACCCCCACACAAGGTGGGGACATAAGGTCCTTCTCGCTGTCGTGTCCCCGCGTGTCCACCGGTGAAGCGATCTTGACTTTAAAATAATAATATTATTATCATAGTAGCCAAGCTCCGCGACACGTCGGAGACGAAAGCCAATGTACGTGTTGCGGCCAGCGATAATGCCTGCTCAAGTATGGTTCTCGGTACACAGCGTCACACGTTTAACGGTATACTGCTGTGGTGTAGGATTATATAAGTAGTGTAAGCAAGTACTGATACATGATTGTAGAGAATAATAGTATGTTATAATTATACGTACAGTCAGTGCCTGTGACCATTTCGTAAACCAGTACCGCGCTAAACATTGTCATTGGTTGCTGCCGCTGCCGGGACAACACCGGTCTCTGGCAACGACGAGGACCCTTGAGACAAGCGACTTTGAGCCATGCGCTCAGGTCGCGTGGCGTTGACTTTGCAGATCAAGGTAGACATTTGTAAGGGGATCTTGGCTTTAGTCGTTCCAAAGCTGAGCATTGACAAGGTTTGAACCGATCACTCGACCGGGACGAATGACAAGAAATCGGCGGGAGTATTGTTGAAACCGTCGACGGGAACTGCTATAGTGGCTGTAATACACAGGGAAATGACGAGCATAAATCTCGTCGATAGCACCTCTCCAAGACCTTCACAGTGTTTACTATAGTCGCTGTTTCATGGTGTCCGTTGACAGGCGGACAGCTGCACAAAACGTTTCTATCGGCGTGCTGAAGCGTGAGATTATACAGGTGTATACTCAGGCTTAACTTATCCCACCGACTGGGGTCGCGCTGAATAATGAACGAGATCGATGACCATTCACGCCATTGTTGTTGCGCATTCATAGCTTTTCATCGCCTTGGCGAAATGTTTGATAGAGCCATCGTAATCCCAATTTATCCACAATTTGTGTTTGTGGATAGTCATCCAATTTCGGTGGCGATGCACAGACAGCGCATTGCATGATCAATGGTATAAAAGACAAAGTCAGATCGACGTTAGAGCATCAGTTACCCTTGAGAACTCCAAAGGACCTTTTCTTCTTCTCCTCAGAACAATCATTCTCTG